AATATTCAAAAAAAAGTTTTTTAAAATTATGTGATGTAGGTACTCAAATAAAGCAAAATTTTATAGAAATTTCAAGAATAATAATTTTTTGACATAAAAATTATTATTTTAGTTTTTATTGCATAATAACTATGGTTTTTTAACTAAAAGTGAAAAAAGTGCTTTTTTTCTATGTCTTTTAATTGCAATTTTTTTGGGCAATATGATTTTCATAAAACGATTATTATTATCGAATTTTTTGTAAAATTTCGCTACTTTTGACTACCAGGTTGACCTACTTTAGAAAAACTGTTTTTCTCTAAAATATTAGGGTACCGGTAATTTTCCCAATAAAGTTGCACCCTTTAAATCTATCACAATCATTCTCATATTTGATAGTATCACTATTAATAACTGATCGCAATGTTTAGAGCCTGTAGCAAGAAAAAAAATTTTTATGACCCGCCCTAATATTATATATATATATATATATATATATATATATATATATATATATATATATATATATATATATATATAACTTATATATGTAACTGCATCCGGAATTTTAAAATCCATTATTTTAGGCGGATGTAGTTACACATCGAGAAATAGACTCCCTGATGTAGTTACATCTTTCTAAAGATGTTATTAGACATCAATGAATGTTTGGACATAGTTGGACAGATGTTAATTCAGTAAAGAAAAAAAGCGGATGATCTTGACAAAAATGTGCGGATGTTATTTTACTACTTTACGGACGTTGTTGGACAGATGTAGTAACCTTTTCCCATAGTAACGTAGAAGATGTTATTCTTTGATTGCAAAACGAACCACTAAATGTCATTAAATGGTTTAAATTTAACTATATGATTGTAAATTTCAAAAGGTTTCAATTACATATAATTTTTTTTTTTTTTATTTGCATTCACTCCCAACAAGACTGGAAGCAACCACGATTAAGTTGGGAGTTACTAGGAAAAAAAAAGAACAGAGTTATAGAGCAAGGAAACGGTTGACAGAAGACTTGAAAAGTTGAAGGTTGTAGGAGTCAGGAAAACATGAAGATGGGAGAGAGTTCCAAAGGATTGAAGTGCGGGGAAAAAAACTAGATGAATAAAAGTTTTTAGAGCATGCTGGGACAGATACAGTAAACGAATGAGACTTAGCTGAATGACGAGTAAAACGAGAATGAATTTTAGTTGATGGAACTAGAGATGATAACTCCTTTGAGCAGTGACCATGATAGTATCTGTAGAAAAGAGAAAGAGATGCAACTTTACGACGATGGGAAAGAGGTTCAAGCTTAGCAGATAGTCCAGGTCCAACAACATTTACAATGCGTTTTTGGACCTTGTCAAGAAGAGAGAGTGAATCGTTAGAAGAACCAGCCCAAATATGACAACAGTATTCCATACAGGGACGAATAAGAGATTTGTAGAGGTAGAGAATGGAATCAGAAGTAAGGAAATGGAGAGCACGATAAAGAGAAGCAACCTTAGCAAAAGCTAATTTAGCAATCGATTGTATATATGGTTTCCATGAAAGGTCAGTAGTAAGCGATAATCCAAGAAGACGTAAAGAGGAGGACTCAGTAAGAGGATTGCCATTCATTAATATAGGAATGTTGACCATATTACGGTAGTTGTTTGCAGTAACCACTGGGTTTTGTTAGAGTTGAAATTCACAAGCCACTGTGAACCCCAATCTATTACTGAAGTGAGATTGGATTCAAGATCAGCTGCTTGTTCTAGGCGATCAAAAAGAGAAGACTTTTTGTCAAGACAGGAGTATAAAGTTGAGTCATCAGCAAAAAGAGCTACTTTATATGAAAGGTTGTCAGGAAGATCGTTTATGTAGATAAGAAACAAAACAGGGCTCAGGATGGAACCTTGGGGAACCCCAGAAGTTACTGGAAATAAAGAAGAGTGTTGGCCTTCAAGGATGACTTTAATAAACCGGTTAGAAAGAAATGATTTGATAATCTCAAAAACTTTCCCAAAAACACCATATGAAGCAAGCTTATGGAGAAGACCAGCATGCCAAACTCTGTCGAAAGTTTTAAATATATCGAGAGCAATAGCCCTTGCCTCACCGCCTCCATCTAATGCACGATAAAATCTTTCAGTTACAGCAGTTAGCAAGTCGGACGTAGAGCGAGAGGATCGAAAACCATATTGATTGTCTGACAGTAGTTTATTTGACTCAAGATGAGATGTGAGGAATTTGTTGATCAAAGACTCAAAGACCTTGCTAATAACAGAAAGAAGACTGATCGGACGATAATTGGAAGGGTCAGAATTTTCTCCAGAGTTTTTGAATATTCATTTTGAAAAAATCTCAGTCAAACAGTTGTTAAATAGTTTAGGGAGAATTGAAGAAAGTTCTGGACAACAATTCTGCAAGACTGTGACAGGAATGTTGTCTAAACCACAAGCTGTAGACGAGTTTAATTGAGATTGAGATATGACTTTAGCAACAGAAGCCGGAGTGATTTGAATGTCTAACGATGGGTCAACCTGTTTGACTGGAATGGAAGGAAGAGAATGTCCATAAGATTCAAGAGTGGAATTAGATGAAAAGTTCTTTGCAAATAGTTCTGCCTTATCCGTGGGAGAGGTAATAAGATAAGTCCCATGAATGAGAGATGAAATGTTAGATTTACCCTTGTTAATAATGCTGTTGAAGATTTTCCAAAAGTCTTTAGAGCCTAACTTCTGTGATAAAATGCGAGATTTAGTGAACTGAAAATAATGGAGTTTAGCCTTAAAATAGCACCTTTTTACATCGATTTCTTGCAATAATAAATAGCCGTTTGTTCTTAAGAGAGTTGTTCTTTTGAAAAAGATGAAAAAAATAATTACGATTGGATATAGCAGCCGCGCAAGAAGGAGAAAACTGAACATAAGCTAGGGTCAGAGACAAGACATAAGTCAAGGAGTGAAGGTAAATGATTAGGGTTGTCAGGAAAACGAGTCACAAAGTTGACTATCTGAGTAAGAGATTGAGAAACGCAGAAGTTAAAGGCTTTAGTGACAGCAGGATCAGTGGTGTTAGAGCCAAGCCACTCAGTGTGATGGGCATTAAAATCACCAACAACAACAATATTGGCAGAGGGGTAAAGAGAGAGGGCATGGTCAATTTGATCAGAGATAACATCTAAAAGAGTGCAATCATGGGAAGAAGGAGAACGATAAAGAACAAAGAGAAAGGTGATAGAGTGAAGAAAAGCTAGGAGAAAGCACATAAAAGAATGGTCAAAGGATTTGAACCTGATTTCACGACAAATAAGGGAATTAATGCGTATGTATACCCCTAAACCTAGCATGTGACTATTGGAGTCTTTACGAATCAAAGGATAGTACCCATCAACACTGACATCTGAAGAAGGAATTGCAGAACTTAAATTTGTTTCACTGAGTGCAAGCAAGTGTGGTGAATTTTGCAGGAGGTAAGACTCAACTGACGGAAAGTTGCTTCGCAGACCGCGAATATTTGTAAAAGATATATTAAAACATTTAGGTTGTGGGGATGGTTTTTTAGGTTTAAAATTTTTGGTTACTTTGGTCATGATTTGGGTTTAATGAGAACTTGACTCATTCATAGATAGAGCTAGTTGGTCAAAAATACTAAAACAGTCAATTTATAATGGTTGGTAAAAACATTTTTGCTTCGGATAAAGTTAAGCTACAATTACTTAACAGGGTTATATAAATATATGGTTACAATTGATCAGGATTTAAAGTTTAACGATCATATTAAAGCTTTATGTGGAAAAAGTTAATAGCAAGTGCTTTTCCCTTTCTTAAATAAGAAATTTTTTACCTTTTAAACAAGCTACTCTATAATTTAACTCGTATACATTGTGTAATTTTTTTCTTAATCTATATCTTAGGTGCCCCAAGAAGCCTTTACGGTCTTATCACAGAGTTTCGCAGAAGAGCATTTGAATAAAAAGTCCCAGCCTCCTCCCTTACCAATGTTATAAAACTTGCCCAGCGGTGGCGTTGAACCACGGATCTCTAGCTTCTGAGGCAAGTGGGCTAACTTTCATACTGTCCACCGATAAGGGTGTTTTTCTCAAAACGCAATGATAAACTTATTAAAAAAACTCATAAAAAAATACTCCACATAGTCCATAAGAAATTTGATTTGTCTTTTGATAAAATGTTAAAATTAGAAATTAACCCTAATCTTAACCCTAACCCTAGAAAATAACCCTATTAATTTAGAAAATAAAATTTTATTTTCTAATTAAGTATTTGTGAACACTTGCATAGTATTTGTGAACACTTGATATTTACATCTCACACTGGGTAAACTTTGTAACACCTGTAATTTTGCGTGCATAAAAAATCGACAAATTAATTGAAAATAAATTGAAAGAGAGTGGATCTGTAATAACAATTTTAAAGCTTCAAATTTAAAGATAACCTATCCGTCATAAGATTTTTGTGTTTTCTATTCTTGAATACTTCTGACTAAACCAATTTTTTGAGCAACTTCAAAGCAGTTATTACCATCATTAGCAGAAATAAAAACTTTTAAATTTTGGTAATTTCTAAAATACAGTGTTTCAATCCAACAGTTACTGGTACACGGTTCAATCATTGTAAACTTATTACATATGCTCAAAAAAAAAAACTTATTTTAAAATGAAATTAATTAAATGATAAAAAAAATAATTAAATGAAATTTTAACATATATTTTTTTAATGAAGTTCCACAATCAAAAAATACATCAAAAAAGAAATTTATCTTTAATTATAATGTAAATATAATGCATACAAATAATATAATGCATTAAAGTGAAATTTTAAAATTGTAAAAGGCAACGATCAAGTGAGTTAAGTGCTGATTTTTTCTATTATAAGTTTGAATCTTTTGGAAACCTAATTGGAAACCAATTAAAACCTCAGATATCATGGTGGAAGGATATCCTTCTGCCGAAGCCTATTAAGGCAAAATCGGAAAAACCTGCCCACCTTTCTTGCTCAAAAAAGGATGTAAGAAAGCTTAAATGTATTTAAATCAATATATTTCTGAAAAACTAAGACTGTAAAAATTACGTATTAATAAGGAAAAAACAAAAAAAAATTAATTTTACAGAAAATTCTGACTTTCTTTTTGATGCCTCCCATAAGTTTCTGGACAGAGTGATTTTTGTAAGTTTTAGCAGCGTAATCCCATTTTTTCTTCAAATCTGTAGCTGATTTTACTTTTTTTCCACTTAATTTCAATTTCTTTTTTATGATGGCCCAATATTTTTCAATAGGACGTAATTCAGGGCAGTTTGGAGGATTCATCTTTTTCGGAACCAGCATCACTCCATTATCATCGTAAAACTTTTGAGCATCTTTTGAGTAATGTATTGTGGCTAAATCAGCCCAAAACAATACTGAAGTACTTTTATGAGCTTTAATTAGTCGTTTTATACGAGGAAGAAAACATTTCACGTGTTCCGAAGATTTCATTGTGCCCAAACAAACATGAATTGGCGATTTTTTGCTGCAAGAGCAAAGTGACTGCCAAATCATCAATTTTTTCGAAAATTTATCAATCATTACATACTTGTATTTATCACTCACATTTCCTCTTATTTAAAAAGCATAGTAGCACTGCCCAGGAATTTGTTTAAAATCCATTTTAACATAAGTTTCGTCATCCATCAAAATGCATCCATTATGCTTTGTTAACAAGTTGTCATGCAACTTTCGAGCTCGACTCTTTTCGGTTGAATTTTATTTATCGTTGCGATTTGGCATTTTAACTACTTTAAAACTTTGATATCCTAGTCTCTGTCGCCATTTGTGTACAAAAAATTGGAAACCTTCAGTTTTTTTGATCGAAATCTATCAGACCAATCAGGATGTTCTTCCAACCGTTCGAGAGCTCTAGGATTTGCTGTGCGTTTTTTTCGACCACTTCCTTGTTTTCTCTGAATAGTTTTCTATTCTGTAAACCGTTTAAGAACAGTATCTACAGTTCTTCTTGATATTTTTAATGATTTCGCCAACTTTCTAATCAATAAAGTTGGATTTTTTAAGTGTTTGTCCACAATCAAAAATCTTTTTTTATTTTGCTTGGTTGACATTTTGAAACTAAATATTATTTTAAATTATATTTTTCTGCCAAAATGTTCTATTATACAAACACTACCACACACAAAAAAAAAATTTCAAAAAACGACCGTTAACTAGCTTTGCCACACCGCAAAAGGTGGGCAGATTTTTCCGATAGCATGCCTTAGCAGGCTTTACTTGACTTTCCTCCTCTGGCACCTACCTAAAAAAAGAAATGAAAAAAACATTCCGATTTTCGTTTATAAAAAGATTATTTGCATTTTCTTGTTAATAGAATAATATAATAGAAAATATAAATAATAAAATATAGCTGTAACAACCTAGCTCTATCAAAACCAAAACACAGTAAAAATAGTGCATAGCATAGATATTTGTAAGCACACATTACAGACATTACTATGTGTCTCCATAATAATTTAAAAAAGGCTAGACAACACAACCTAATAACACAGCTTGGCGCTGCTAAATAACAACACAACTTAATAAGATATTTTATTAACTATAGTACTTGAAACTAAAGGGATTTTATTTATTATGATATTTGAACAATTGAGGGACAATTATAGTTAAACAATTTAAACAATTATATCATAACAGCAAGCAACTCGTAAAATATTTCTTTTACATGGTCAATTATTAATTGTGGTATTAAAAAATACTTAAGAGCTCAGTAATTACATAAGTTTCATTAATGCTATCTTTATTAATTCTCATTTAAGAGAGAGAGGGAAAGACTGTTTCCAAGGCAGAATATTTAAAAAAGTAAAAAAGACAGGGACCAAATATTTATAAGCATAAGAAAAATTACTGTTAATGATAATGACAAAAACAACATCATAGCACAAAATAGCTATAACACAAATAACCATAAAAACTTGTTTTATTATGATACAAGTAAACAAAATTACTTTTACCTTAATTATGTAAAATTCCAGATTTTCTTAAACTGTTGACTAATGATTAATAAAGAAAACTTATCATCATATAAATTTACTAAATTAAAACCATGTTTCAACAGTAAGCAAACTAATCATAGATAACAACATAAACAACTTTATCTTAGCTCTATCTCTGTCATTTGGAAAAAAACTATTTTTAATTTAAGTCTTTAATTAGCAATTATACTAATAACTTCTTCGAGCCTAATATTATCCATTTCAAATTAACTTTTCACAATTATCATTAAACATATTACCAGTAATATACTGTTACATAGCAACAACTAATGTTACAACAGAACAAATAAACATAAAATAATCTATGTGATCTTTTCTATCTAAACATTATATTTTAACTTAAGATTTGAAATCTATATCTTTTTATAAATTTATAGATAACTGATTATGAAATAAACTTAGATGTTTATCAAAAATATTTATCAACAACATTTATTAACATCTATTATGTTTGCACATTCTTGTATAAAAAATGAATGTCAATCGAGTATATTTTACTCTTAAATAATAAAAGATTAAAAAGTTCAAGAGCAAATTTATATACATACAAACATACAGACACACATACATATATACATTTAGCCCCTCCATTTTCTAAACAGTTTTAAAAAAACTTTTATGATAGCAATAGCAAAATTTTCCAGTCTGCAATGACTCGATCACAATTAAACATCACCATGGAAAAGTATATCCATAAAACTGTTTAAAATACTATTGCATACTAACTATTTTTTTAATGAATGTGTGCAGGCAAAAGATGACTAATCCCATTAAAAAGATGACTAATCACATTAAAAAGATAATTAATCACGTTGCGTGTGATAAATAGATCATTTATATCTATTTTGCTGTATCATACAAAATTGAGGAACTTTTTCCTTTTTAACATATGTTTTCAGGCCCCCAACTTTTGCAACCTTCCTACACCATTGTATATATATATATATATATATATATATATATATATATATATATATATATATATATATATATATATATATATATATATATATCCACACAACTTTAAAAAGAATCATAACACCTTAAACAATGAAACAGAGCATAATCATTTTTTTATACTACTTCCAGAAAAATTTATTTACTTTTTAAATTCTTTGTTATTTTTTCTAAAGAGAAAAAGAGAAATAAAAAATATTCTAAAATATATGCACATCTATGTACATAAACTTAGATGTCAACAAATAAGAGTCTGTTTTCCATGTTTAACACATAAAATATAAATTTAATATAAAATAAATCCAATATAAAACAAAACAAAATAATAATTTTCCTAAATCAGTACCAGTTCTACTGTTTAAAATTTTTGATTATTTTATTGACTCTTCTAATAAAATAAAAGATTATTAGAGCAAATTGAAGTGACTAAAAAGCACTTTAGCACTTTCCAATCGCTCTAACAAATAAAACTTGCTTAGTAGCTAAGTTCTTAAGAATTTGAAAACAGATAAATAACTAAGAACAAACAAACATTTATTTATTAAAACTACTATATTTAAACAAATTAAATTAAACAAAAAACATCATTTATTCTCCTTAGAAGTTAAAAAATTTATCAGCTCAAATTTGCTTGCAGACCTTGCTTGTAGAACTAAGTAATCAATAAAACATTTAGAATAGTCTAGAAACTACTTAAAAATGATGCGTTGAACATCGAACTTTGACTGGAAAAATTATTAGTTTTTAAAAATTTACAAAAATTTACAATATTTTGTTCTTCTATATTGCATAAATACATCTGATATGATAAATATGCAATAAATGAAACAAATAAGTAAATAAAAACATCACATATGAAACTTAGAAGTCAATGTACCTGATACATGTAAGCTGTTGATACTGGAGTAATAGTTGTTAAATATTGTTAGCTTTTAAAAAATATGTTAGCTTTTAAAATATAATTCAAGCTGGTACATCATGGTTCCAATAATTTATTGTAAAAGGACAAAAAAACAAATTGAAGTATAAACAAACTGTGTATATGGCAAAATGATTTCTCTTGGCTTTTAGTGAATGATTAAAAGCAGGGAGTTCCAATAATGAATAATTATTCACAAACAATGGTGAGTTATTTAAAAAAATACTCAACATGTTACAGAGCAATATAGTCTCATAATTAGTATATTTTTATATAACTCAGGTAATGCATATTTTAAAAAGATCACAAACTTAGGCAAAAAACTCTTTTGTAATGAGCCTTTAATTAATGTTTATTCCTCATCATTAACAGCACACTACAAACTGTTCAAAGTAGTTCAGATACACTTTTGCATATTCTTTAGTTGTCTCATCTTCTAACCATATGAATGCTTTAACTTCAATAACTATTGAACCTTTGACACCTGCAGTTTATTGCACAAAGGCATTAAATTATCAAAGTTTTTAAGGACAAAAATTAGAGACCTGAAAAAAATAAAAAAATAAAAATAAAACTCAAATATAATGGCAAATAACAGTGATTTTTTGCTTAAAAATTATATGTTTTTGATAGAGGAGAATGAGATTACAATTTTAAAATTTTCAGAATGTGGAGATACATATTAAAATGATAATTTATAACATGTTGTTATGAAATGTCTTAACATGTAATATTCCAATGCTAATATAGTATAATATAATAAGGTCTTATAACATTTTACTAGTTTCGTTATGTCTCAATCGGTTACAATTGGTAACAAGGTTACATTCTCTTATTTTAAATTAGATATTAATTAAATAAACTTGATAACGCAGTAAATGTTTGTTTATCATTGCCGTATTGCTAATTACCATACTTACTTAATTTTTTAATGTAAAATAGCTTCATCTCAACTAGTTACTTTGTCACGAAAAAAAAATAAAGTTTCAATTTGCAAAGTTACATCTCAATTGGCTTTTTTTTTTTTTAACTTTTAAAAGTGTAACTAAATGAGATGCAACGTAAGTTAAAAAAAAGGCGCAATTAAAATATGTCTCAAATACAGATTTTTTTTAAAGTTACGTTATGTCTCAATTGGTTAAACTTTTAAAAGTTTTGAAAAAACATAATGTAATGTAAAATAAAATCTATATTTGTTACGTATTTTAATTGTCTCAAATGGGCAATATCAATTTGCAACGTTACGTCTTAACTGGTTTTTTTAACTTTTAAAAGTGTAACCAATTGAGACGTAAAAACATAATGTAAAAAAAAGGCGCAATTAAATTACCTTTTAAATGCAGAATTTTTTTTAAACTATTCAATATAATAAATATAATAATAAAATAATTTAATTCTAAACAAAACTATTTAATTCTAGCGATGCTTGTGGTCAAATGCACATTTTGCTAACAGCTGTTCTTTCATAATTTCAATAAGATTTATTATATATAAGTTTTATACTTTGGTGAGAAAACCACTATGTCAATGGTTTTTAAAGCTGTTTACATTGAAACTTTGATTTTTGTTTAACTGAAATAATGATTTTCTTATTTTAAAGGATAACTTTTACGGAATTTTCTTTTTTAGTCTTGAGATTTAATTTTTCTGTTAATAACAAGTAAAAATTATTAAACGTAGGAGGAGGGGGAGGGGTTTTAATAGGCTTAGGGTGAGTGGGAAAATTTTCGAGAAATTATTAAACGCGGTCTCCCTTCCCCCCCCCCCCCTTGTAATAATAAAAATTATTAAATATATTATACTTAATGATTTTAAGATTTAATAAACATTGTTAAAGGATCGCTGATCAGACTTTTTCTGAAAGTGGGGTGGGAGATAATGCCACCTTAAAAAAATAGGTATTTAGCCGGGTGATGTTTACTTTTTATGGTCTTTACATTTCTAGGTTTTAATTTGTGCAATTTTTTGTCATAAAATCATTAAGTTACATAAGTATGAACATTCGAAAATTAGATTTTTTAACTTACCTAAACATTCTATTTAAATAATTAAATAGTAAACTTACTATTTAATTTTCTAAATAGTAAAGTTAGGGTAAGTTAAAAAATTCTCCCGGGTTTCAAAAATATTTTCTTTAACAAATCCATATATCAAAAAATTGGTACTTAAAACTCCATAACTTTTTGTAAAACTGTTCGATTTTGATAATTTTTTCACCTTTAAAATACTGTTATTAAGGTCTTTCCAATGATATATGACAATCTAGTATTTGATTATTTTAAAAATTTTATGTCACATACCTATTATTATGTATTCAAAATAATTTAAAATAACCTAGATAAAAACATCTAAACCGAACTTATCATAATATCTAGATCTAAAGCAATAACACCACTTGACACTGAATGCTACCAAGTCATACCTCTGCTATAAGTACATCACTTGGCTGGCAAGGTTGACAAATCTTGCTTTAAATGTTTGTCACTATATATATATATATATATATATATATATATATATATATATATATATATATATATATATATATATATATATATATATATATATATATATATATATATATATATATATATATATATATATATATATATATATATATATATATATATATATATATATATATATATATATATATATATATATATATAAACAATGGTCTTAACCTTTAAATTTTAAACTTTTTTTTATAAACATATCTCCTTAAACATCGAATTATAATTTACTTTTAATCAAATACCTATTTAACCTTTAGAAACAATAAAACTTCAGTGTTGGCTCAGTATATTAATTTATTTTCAAACTTTCTAAAAAAAAAAATTGTTAATAGCATCATAGAAATATCAATAAAATAATAATCAACATGATAAAATAAGCGAGGTATGAAATGATAGCATTCATGGCAATGTATATTGAATTATATTATTTTTGGACTTCTAAAAACATTTTTATTTTAATAATAAACAAATTTAAAAGAAAACAGTATTAGTAGTTTTTATTGCAAAAACAGTGCATAAAAATAGTTATGCCTCATCCCCTATTTCCCCTAAATTAAAATTAAGACAAAAGAAAAGATATATATCTTGTAATATGCATAAAATGAAAAAATGGAAATCTTTCTTTCCCTCAATAAATAAACCAAAATTAAACCAGATTTTAAAAAACAAACTAGAAAAAAAAAAAAAAAAAGACAAAAGACTTCTAAAATAAACCAGATTTAAACCATATTTTCTAAAATAAACCAAAACAAAAAATCCAAGCCAACCGATAAAAAAAAAAAAAAACAGATTTGAGAAATTTGATTTTAAAAAACACCAGATGGCAACTCTGTTTAGAGAACGCGCTTTGTTTAGTTCAGAAAAGCCAAGTAACTTATTTTAAAAGATATCTTTAAAGAGTTTAATATGTAATTAAATAAAAACTTTTATTATGGATGTAACTTTTTACTTTTTGAATTAACTTTATACATCATTTCAAGAAAGTATAGATCGTTATCAAGTATAATTTATGTATAAATAATACTTGATAACGTGGGTATCTATACTACCTTCAAATATTTTATAAAAATTAATTCAAAAAAATAAAGAATGTAACTACATTCATAATAAAAGCTTTTGTTAAAGTAACTAATTAAAATTATTTTAAAAACGAAAGTGAAACAAGTTAAACAGAAGTTAACTGGAGATTGATATTAGGATAAACTTCGACGCCCGCGAGTCAACCCGCAGTTCGGATTTATTTAATTGGATTAAGTATTTCAATTTGTTGTCAAGAAGAAATACTCTATGTTTAATTAATGTATGTTACTGCAAGTAACAACTTGCAGTAAGATTTTATTATATACCTGAAATTATTTTCAACATTTAGTAATATTTTAAAATGATATTATGAATGTTTTATTTAATATAATTTTTAATTGTATTTAATCGATAGCTTTCTGAATTTTCTTCCAAAACCATAATTTGTTATATATTTATCATAGTATTTACTAATACGTATTAACTATATAATAGCGATGTTTCCAACTGGGCTATAGAAAAGAAAATCATGTTTTCTTTTTTCTTATTATTTAGTTGAATTATATTATTTTTTTAAATTTACATTAATTGAATTATTCTTTGTTTAATCATAAATATCTACATTTATCCATCTTAAACCTACAAATACCCTCTATATCTATTTATAATAAAAGGTAAATGATAAGTTTAAGGACTAAGCATAAAGTCTAAACAATGTAAAAGTACTTATATAAAACTGTAAAAAGTCATTAATACATCTATAGTTCTATAGTTATTCAATAACTATAGAACTATAGATGTAATAATGACTTTTTAATATTAAATTAATATTAATATTAAATTAAATAATATTAAAAAGAACCATCACTACTTCAACCACATACAAACCCATTTTTATAAAAAACTTTATCGTGTAATTGTTATAGCTATCAATAATAACAACTATCACAATAAGTTATTGTGATAGTTGTTATTATTGTTATTATTGTGATAGTTGTTATTATTATTATTATAATAACAGTTATTATTGTTATAATAATAACAGTTATTATTGTTATTATTATAATAGTTATTATTATTATTATTATTGTGATTGTTATTATAATAATAATAATAACAATAATAACAACTATCACAATAACTTATTGTGATAGTTGTTATTATTGATAGCTGTAACAATTACACAATAAAGTTTTTTATGAAAATGGGTTTATATGTGGTTGAAGTAGTGATGATTCTTTTTAATATTATCTTAAAATTCCTTACTTAATATCTTTTGTCACTCTGATAATAATTATTTTTACTCCTTTTTATTCAGGTGTTCATGAAAACTTTAATTATATTTTTTTATAAACTTTTTAACAAATATTTTACAAATATTTATGCTCATTTTATGTATTTATTAATAAACTTGTGTAAATTATTAATTAATAAATTTTATAACAAATTATTGATTATATCATTGAAGATAGAATAAACAGTAAAAAAAATTATTGATTATATCATTGAAGATAGAATAAACAGTAAAAAAAATTAAATGGTAGTTTGCCAAGTATATAAGCTGTATGTAGTTATATTTCTTTAAATATTATGTCTTATATTTTTATAGTTTCCATTTATAGTAATCGTTTTATAAAAATTTTTATTAATCATTTTATGTTGATTTTATTTTAGATTTTTTACAAATTTAAAAACAAATAATATCACATTAAGAGAAAAAGATGAATAAGGAAATTTCTGAAAATGTTTTAGAAAAAGAAAATGAAGATTATAATATATTAAATAAAGAGTTGTCAAATGATTACTCTGATGAACTTTCTGATGAAGAAAGAGTTTTATTGTATGAGAAAGCTATGAGCTTCAAGCAGCTTGGAAGTAACAACCATGCTTTATTATGCTTTCTTGGCTGTTTAAAAGGCTTGAAACCTAGTTCAAAAACAAAATTTACAATGTTACCCCAATGCTTAACACATATATCAGAAATTTATGCATCAGCAGGAGACTATCAGAGAGCTGTGGAGTTCATGCAAGGAACCAAACTTTATTATGAAACTGCAATTATTGAGGCTGGCATTCAAGTTGATGAATATAAAAAAGAAACAGGTTCTGGTTACCAACCTTTAGATTTAGATCCATGCTTAGATGAGGCACGTCGAGCAAATGAATATGAACGGTTATCTCACTCATGTCTTGAACAGCAAAAGTTTCAGCTGGCTCTTGAGTATTGTGGAAAAGCCACTCAATTAAGACAAAAGGCATACGGAAATGAGCATCAACTGACAATGAAAAGTTTAGATATGTTTACCTTAATTTATGCAGAGATGGGTAAATCTCAATATTCTGAAGCAATGAGTAAATATGGAGACACATCAAAATTTGTAAAAGAGGATGAAACCATGGTGAGTTTTTAAATTACTATGCTGTTAAAATTTTTTGTAGTTACATAAGTTAGTAAAATTTTTATCAGAAATTGTAGGTTTTAAAATAAAAGAATTTAAATTTTCAAAATGTGGTAGCAGTGTAGTTTTAGAGCACTTGCTTCAAAGTGAGAAACTCACTGGTAGTATTACTCTAAATTGTGTTCACATTTCCTGGTAGTATCACTCTAAACTTATCTCTATGCACAGTGAACTTTGTCTTTGTCAGCGACCTTGTTTGTCAAAGCTTTTGTCCAGGAGTTAAAGAGTTGAGGTTGTAAAAAAAATGAAAAAACATTAAGAAAAAAGCAATACCTCAATGTCTCTAGTACTTTTAGTTCATTTTTATTAATTTTGTTGAAATAACTTTGAAAAAGGCAAAGTTGAGTTGTTTTGTTCTATGAGTTGTTTTGTTTCACTTATACTTCGGTTTTTTTAAAATATTATATGATAAATTGTTATTTAATAGTTCTGAATGTACAAGAGTGGCTACTTTTAATGCAATCATCGGTTACAAATTTACAACATCAAAAAACACCTGAACCACATCATTGACAATATTCCAAGTTTCAGATTTTTCATATATAGTTAAAGAGGTTTTTTATTATTGTATTGCTGGTTTACAGGCTTTGATTACTCCGTATATAAAATTTGGGATAGGATCACTTAAATATATTTTTTTGTATTCCTTTTTAAAAAAGCATTGTTTTTTATTTAGTTTTAAAAGGTATCTTTTAATTTTTGTCCCGTAGCTGTCAGTAGGCTCTTTACTTATAATTTTTGTTGAACCAACTTGTTCACAATTTATTTCCAAAGCTTTGGAATACTCAATTTTTACAAAAAAAAAACTTCTTTTCTTGTTTTTAGTTTTTAAAACTTCTAAAAAATTTTAATAAATATCTTATAAAATCATTTAATATTCCTTTCAAAATAATTTTTGATAATATAATGTTGAATATCAATTGCATGAAACCCATTGTTCTGATATAAGCTTAGATGTTTATTGTTTTTAATAATAGTACAAACATGTTAATTGAGCATTTACAATAAAAGTAGAAAAAGTTGTTATAACTATTACATATATGTACAACATCTTATTTAGTTATTGAAAGTAAATCAAGCCTTTATTTACTAATAATAATAGTAATAGTTATTATTGTTATTATTATTATTATTATTATTAGTATTATTATTAATTAATTAACTAATTAATCAAGCAGTAACAAATGTTTATTTACACATGGTTTTGAATTAAAAGGATACAATTTAAAGAAGATTTTTATTGTTTACATGACATTTTTTTTAGAAAAAAGCATCACAAGACAATTTAAAAGAAGCCAAGGAAAATAAAAAGGAGGTCAAAATTGTTGAAGAAGAAGTGAAAAAAATAGAGGAGATGTAAATACTTCATTCATTACTTTTATTATTATTTCATTTGTTAAATTATCATTTAATAAATAGAATAAAATAATATATAAAATATTAAAATTGAAAAAAAAAAAAAAAATGTTGATATATATAAAGGTTTTAATACATCTTTTATAACTCCTACAAAATGGTTTTAAAATATATTTTTTATTAAGGTGACCATATCTGAAAAATTTCTGGCGCGTACAAGAAATAAATTTTGTATATATAAATATAAGTATTTAAATCAGGCCCTTAACCAGACTTTTTTGAAGGAAGAGCACTTTTTTAAATGGTTCCAAAATAAAAATTCAAAAAAAGCCACCCAAGGGCAATATATTTAAGCGTCTACTAATTACCTATTATTGATAAGATTTTGCATAAGTTTCATTAAATGATATTATGTTTTTAAGGAAGGTTTCGCCCTGCCCTTTTTTATAGTGTTGTACTAACAAAATATTTATATATATATGTTATAATACTTTTTTATTTAAAATGTTCTATTATAATTTTTTAATGACCAAATAAGGCGCTGGGCAGCTCATATTGTCTTTACTCCCCCCTGCCTTCAAATCGTTTTTTCTAAAAATTGGGTTTGAATCAATATTTATAAAAGTTTATTTTAAAATAGCATTTGGAAAAAAGGAAATTGTAGAAAAATATTAAACACTTCTTGCTTTTTTAAATCATATTTTCAGTAAGAATATTCTTTTTGAACATTTTGCTGGAAATTCTTTTTCACTTTTTTAATTTTTCTGCGAATTCTAACCAGTTATATTTTATTAAATTAAATTTAACAAACATAATAGCTGCCAAAAATATCATTGTAAGTTGGGATTCCCCTTTGGTCCAAATATCATTAGCAATTAAAAATATTTGCTCTACATAAGCATACCTGGCAAACATAAACCCGCTTCCACCAATTCTAACAAATTGTTGTAAGGAATGTGATTGTTTCGATTTTTTTTTTTTTTTTTGTTTTTTTTTTTTAATATTGCTTCCAACAAGGCTGCAAGCAACCACTAATTAATGTTGGAAGTTACCGAAGAGAAAAAATGAAAATTGTAGAGCAAGATAACGATTGACAGATGACTTAAAAGGTTGCAAATTATGTGAATCAGGAAAGCAAGATAAAGGAAGCAAATTCCAAAGAATTGATGTTTGAGGAAAAAAACTAGAGGAATAGGATTTTTAGGAGCACTTAGGAACAGTCACAGAAAAAGGATGAAACTTAATTGAATGACGAGTAACATGAGAATGAATTTTAGTAGATGGCACAAGAGACGCTAGCTCTTGTGCCATCTACTAAAATTTATTCTAGAGCAGTGCCCATTATAGTATTTGTAGAAAAGAGAAAAAGAAGCAACATAACGACGATGTGATAATGGTTGAAAGTTGACTGCAAGAGCAGGTCCAACTATGTTTACAATGTGTTTTTGCACCTTGTCTAAAAGAGAAAGGGGATCATTAGAAGATCCGCCCCAGGTATGGTAACAGTATTCCATACAAGGCCGGACTTGAGATTTGTAGAAATAGAGAATAGAATCCAGAGTAAGAAAGTGTTGAGCTCAATAAAGAGATGCAACTTTAGCAGATGCTAATTTTGCAACGAATTTATATGGTTTCCAAAAAATATTAATAAGAGTCAATTCTAGAAGATGAAGGGTAGATGACTCATCGAGTACATTACCGTTCATAAATATAGGAAGGTCTAAATTATTGCGATAATGATTCGCTGAAAAAAATTGAGTTTTATCTCAATTAAAGTTCACCAGCCACTGTGAGCGCCATGCTGTAGCAGAAGTAAGATCCTTTTCGAGCTCAAATGCCCCCTCCAAGCAATCAGAGGGAGTCGGCTTCTTATCATGATAAGAATAAATGGAAGTATCATCAGCGAACAATGATACCTTAGATGTGAGAATATCTGGAATATTGTTAATGTAAATTAAAAAAAGTATAGGTCCAAGGATTGAATCTTGAGGAATCCCTAAGGTTACAGAATAAGAAGAAGAGTGCTGTGCACCAAGGACAGTTTTTATACTACAATTGGAAAGAAAGGATTCAATAATCTTAAAGATTAGATAATCTTAAAGATGTTTTCAGATAAACCGTAAGAAGAAAGCTTATGGAGAAGACCAGCGTGTCAAACTTTATCAATAAAAGTAGCTCTCCGCAAATTTCATCAAATAATTTGTTGTCATTAAATGATTTTTAATGATTTTTTCAAGAAAGTTTCAATAATTTCAGTCTATTCAATTTTACAACAATAATTTTAGTCTATTCAATTTTACAATTAACTTAAGAGTCATTAAAGAGGATATTTATAAATTTTCTGAAAATTTTCCCATCATTAACATTAACTTGGCATTTATGCCAGTTAATGACTAATGCCAGTTCACATATACGCCATTTGCACTTATGCCAGTTCACACTTGTGAAATTTGCACTTATTCAGTTTCTTCCTAGAAAGAACCTTTAAGAATCCTAGCAATTTTTGGTATTCCTTGCAGAAATGTTCTAAACTTGAAACTCAAACAGCAAAACGGTAAAAAATAAGTTTAAGGAGTAAATATCAGTTGATAAACTACCAGATGCACATCTAGTTGTTTATCAACTAATATTTATTCCTCGCTTAACTGATATCAACTCCACATCAGTTGATAAACAACTAGATGCAGTGTATATTGCTATGTATAAAATGTGAGCATTGCAACTGATGCCAATGATTTCACAGTTTAGCTTGACAGTCAACTTTTAGTGAATATTGTTATTTTCCATTTACACAGTTCAAGTTTATCAGATGATTTTTTTTTTGATAGATTTGCAATGATATTTAATTGCAGACCGCCCATGACTACTAACGTTAAATAGGCTTTGGCAAATAACACACTTAAGAAGCTCATCTTTGATCTGGGTTAAGAAAGGAAACATTTTCTTTAAATTATCATTGTCTTTAACCTTTAAAAATTATCATTGTCATTAACATTAAAAAATTATCATTGTCATTAGCTTTAAATTATCATTGTCTCCTTATTATTTGTTTTATGAACATTACTTTTTTATAATACTATTTTATAAAAGAAAATTATGAAGCATTGTTTATAAAAGTTAGGGAAAAAAAGACAAAGCAAAAATATGTGTAAAATGAGTGCTTTTTTTTTTTTTTTTTGGAGTTAAAAAATGTTTTAAAAATAAATTTTTTTCTTCTCTAAAAGGAACTGGAAAAACTTTTTTATTTTCAAAGGAATTTAATGCATTTAGTTTTGTATGTTATAGTTAAATTGAATGGAATTTATTTTAGCTTCTTAATTATATTTAAGCAAATTCATTGTTTAAATAACTTTATTTAATAGAATTTTAATTACTTAATTTTTTAATGTACGCGCCAAACAGGTAACCTTACTTTTATAATTCCTACATAAAGGTTTGAAGATATATCTTTTATAACTCCTACATAATGGTTTTAAGACATTTCTTTTATAACTCCTACATAATGGTTCTAAGATATATCTTTTATAACTCCTACATAATGGTTTTAAGATATCTTTTATAACTCCTACATAAAGGTTTTGAGAGCCATTTTTTGTAAGAATCAGGCGAATTGCTTGAATTTTATATATATTGCTCAGAAAATTAAAAAAAAATTAGGAAATTAAGTTTTTGTCAAAAAATTAATTTGTGCATCATTTTTAAACTTGCATTAGTTACATATTTGCAACCTTATGTTCAAAAGATTTTACTTGTTTAAAGAATTTACTTGTTAAAGTATTTAATAGAAACAATGCCTACCTTTTAAAATAAAAATTTTATCTGTTGATAAAAGTTTTTATTTTCAAGTTAACAAGTTATGAACTCTATCCAAAGGTGATTGGGAATTGTATACAGAGCAGGTAGCATCTATGGTATCATCTATGTCTTAAGCAGTCAAAAAATTATCAGAATCAAAGTGGCTCTTTTCCAGCTATTTTCATAAAGAATATATCCACATGTTAACTCATTCCAAAATGAGTTCACATGTGGATAAAAATATTGCTAAAATACTCTCTTTTAGCCTCCTTTTATCTTTGACCCTCTCTGTATCTTTGACCCTCTCTTTATCTTTGAACCTCACTGTATCAAACCGGAAGAAATTTTTGAAACAAATCTTCAGACCAGAATGCAGTTTCTTTTTTAAATTTTTTAAACTTTTTCTATTGAGATTATCTCATCATATGTTTTATATAATCAAATACATCTTTAACAACAGTTTCCAAGTCATAAATAAAATCAGCATCTTCAAAATTTTGAAATTCTTTGATCATTTTGATAGCTTTGCAAAAATCATAACAATCAGCACATTCCACTTCCGATATATGTGGTGGTTAAAGATTTTTTCCACATGGATCACATAAAGCATGCTTTGAACCTGACGTTCTCATAAAGATTTTTTCACCTCGCGCTTTCATAAAAAAATTTTCATAAATGGATATCACATTAGTGATGCGAGGTTAAACTCATATTAGCACCAAAACTTTAGTGATAAGGTTTTTCGTTTTTCTATTTCCTTGCCTCAAAGGTTAACACATAGATATAATCTAAAACATAAATTTTTCATTATAAGAAGGTTTAATTAAGTCTTTTGATTACTTTCAAAGGTATTCTAATTATATCTTTTTAGGAAGATCTTTTGATTACTTTTAGAGTTATTAATAGTTTTTATTAATTTTTTAAAATTTTTCATTAGAACTTAACAAAACTTTAGACACTGCAAATAAAAAATATTTTTTCATGTAGTTTCTCATTTGATGTCGTCTACTCACAAAATATAGTTACTTAAGGCGACTTGTCCACCCACAAGGTATAGTTCCCCGAGGTACGCCACCTACAAAACTTTGCTAATTAATTTTTTTTTTTGACTGCACATTTGTTTGAAATTATTACATAGTACATGGCAAGGGCTATCTTAAAACTATTGTGAGCTTTTTGTTACCTGAAAGCCATTTTTCGAATTTTTCAAAGTCAATTTTATCTCTAATTTGTATCGAAAATATTTATATGGTCATTACTTCAGTCTAATAAATAAAATATTTAATTGCTATTTATATTTAGTTATTTTATTATGTTAGGAAAATATTAGAAAAAGAAAATCTTGTTGAAGAACCACGTGAAGAAAATCGTATAAAAAAAGTGCAGTTTTCTCCTATTGTTTCAACAAGAACTATTACATGTGACAACGCTCCATTATCTGCTGGACAATGGCATATGTTAACATTTTTTTTTGTTTCTACAATTTTAGCAATAATTACCACTATACTATGGTGTCATATTTCAGGCAGTTCAATATGTCTTTCATTTCGCCATTTGTTTTCACAATAGTAAATCTGAAAATTTCATAATAAGTTGTAAATAAAATTTCTCTGAGCGTTGAACGTTATGCAAAACGTTTATATTGTATTTTGCATAACGTTACATTACGTTTTACAAAATTATTTGTTTTTAGTTTTTACTTTTTTAAGTAAAAAAAAAAGTTTTTTATTAAAAAACATTAATTTAAGTATTTAAAATTTTTTTTAAACCTTTTAATTGGTTTAGAATATTAAAATTATTATCATAAACAACGGGAAGGTTTAAATTAATGCACACAAATTCTTTTATAAAATTTTTTCTAACAAACTTGATATATTATTCTTAGTTGGTTTGTGTCTTTTTTCCATAATAATTTCAATTTTAAATTTGTTTTTTTTTTTTAACTAGTAATGTATTTTGTTTTTTTTTAGGTGTTTTTAGTTTTAAATAAATGTAAATATAATATTATAGATACAAAAAATATGCTTAAATAATCATTAGAATTGGGCTGTTTGTTATTTAAGAAAATGTTAGTTTGTCCATTTTTATTGATTTATATTTATTTAAAATTGAAATATTTATCAATTTTGAAATTTTAATTGTTATACATAAATGAATTTCAAATCGTTTAAATCTAATATATTTATTTCCAAAATTGAATATTATAAATCTCTTTAATTATTATAAAATATGTAAAAACGGTGTATTATTTATGGATTAAAAAAATATAGAATTTTTTAATTTAAAATATTGTTTTTCCCTGAGACGTTTTTTAGCCTAGACGTGAAAAATATTGTAAATATTCAATGCTATAGAAATAGCGCATCGCAAAAGCATCCGTAGTAACAAAATTATAAATGACCCTAGTAACAAAATATTTAATAATCGTGGTAGCGTAATAGCCGTTAAAACATGGTTAGCTTTTTCTTTTTTTTTTTAAATAACTATAAATAAAACATAAATAGAATTTACAATAAAATTATAAAATAAATAGATAAAGGAAAATAAATAAAATAAAGCACTAATAAATAAAGATACTATTAACAGAAGCACATAAAGAAAGTATCGTTAAAAAAAATAACTGGATTCGACCTAAGAATCTATTTGCGCGAATGCTTCAAAATTGCTCTAAATTTAGCCCAAAATCGCAAAATGCGTAACTTCAAACAATCGCTATAAATACTTCTAACAAGAAAAAATCAAAAACTTTTTCATATAAATATGAGCTTTACGCCACTCATTAGCCGCTTGGCATAAAAATTGGTCGAAAAAAATTTATGGAATTAGCTAATATGCACACTCGTTCACAAAAAGTGCTGCGACTCTTTCTCGACATTAACTCTAAGCGCACTTGCCTCTTTAACAAAAGATCCGTTGTTCAAATTTAATTTGGGCAAGTATTGCGACATCGGATGGGAAGGAGGCGTGAACTTCCAGTTAAATACTCATCCGCGGTGCTTTATTATAAGACCGTAAGGATTTCTTTGGGCATCTCAAAAAAAAAATCTCCTAATCTAATGGCTGTCGTGTGTTATGTGCATACACGCACAAATGAGTAGCAGCAGCATTAAATTTGATATTAAAATATCTTAGGATTATTGCCTAAGGGTTTTAGGTTTTCACCGTGTTCTTCAAGATAAATATTTTAATATTATTTTTTTTATAATCTCCACATTTTTAAGTTTTGAGATTAAATGATTTTAAAAACAAAAACTTTAGGAGATGGCATATAAAAAGATTTTTATTACTTATGTTATCTCCGCAACTTTTTTAATTTAAACTTAGGTTTTAATATAGTAGAAAAACGTTATTTTGAGGTACATAACAAAATCAATAACTCTAACCTCGCGATATGTTTGGTTTGATTGCAAGAATAACTTTTGTCCCGCAAGTAACGACAACTAATTGATATATAAGGTGGGAACTTACAAATGTACCCTGACTTTAGAGAACTGTTATTAATAAACCTCTATTTCAATGAAACTACATTTTGCATATCTAATAACTCTATTTATGAGCCATCAGAATTACTTATAATTTTTTTCAAAACATTCAAAATGGTAAAAAAGTGGATTTAGAAAGCATAAGAAATGAGATTGTTTGTCTCTATAAAAAAAAATTTACAACAGCTAAAATTGGTAGTTATTTAAATTATCACAGATGTGGCCATAAGTTGGTTTATTGTACCATAAAACGTTTTAAGAAAACTGGAGATGAAATTCCGCAAAAAAGAACATGGAGAAAAAGAGTGGTTTTTACTAAAAAATTTAAAATGATTTAAAAAGAATTCCTCACGAAATCCTGCTCTAAAAGGAAGATCAACTGCAGAAGAATTTGGAACCAATCCCAAAACCATCAACACTTTGATTAATGTAGTAATTCCCAATGATCTTGATTTTTATTTTTAAAAACAAATTGATTAATAAAATGTTGATATATATATATATATATATATATTATATATATATATATATATATATATATATATATATATATATATATATATATATATATATATATATATATATATATATATATATATATATATATATATATATATATATATATATATTCATAGAAGATTTTTTTAATTTTTTTTTTTTTTTTTATTAATATGAATAAATAAGTATTTAAAATGTATTTTTTTAGACAGTTTATGTTTTTGAAGTTCTTACAAACGTCATAGCAACGCATATTTAAACAAGAACATTTCAACTTGTTCAACCTTCTAAACAACACTATCTTATTCATACTATAGCTTCATAATTAATATGTGCTTTATGTTTGGTGGATATTTTTAATTGGCTCATGTTTCTTTTTGTAACTTTTAGTGTTTTTCTCAAAAAGTCATTTTTAACAAATAAATAAATTTTAAAACATGATATTTTCAGTTTGGGGCTTTATACTATCTTCGAGTTTTCAAGGTAAAAATTTGTCAAACAGGTAAAAATATGATTAACCATACAAGTAGCTGTAAGAAAATATTTTTTAACATTTAACATGGCGGAAACCAATATATCAAACATTTTAAATATGTCTCACAGAGATAATATACATTTAACAAATGACATTGATCCTGACGTAAACATTTTTGATATACTTTCAATTGAAAATAATTATTTTATTGTCACTGAGGCTTCTAGCTTTCTTAATTCTTCGTCATCTTCTTTTTCGCTGTTGAAAATAAATATCCGGACTATGAATAAAAGTTTTGAAAACTTAAAAATAATGTTAGAAAATTTAAACTACAATTTAGTGTAATATGCCTAACAGAAACCTGGTTTCAAAATAGAGATGATTCAAACTCAAATTTTTATTTATCAGGTTATAAATCAATACATCACGCAAGGAAAATTTGGTGGAGGAGTGTGTATTTTTGTTATAGGTTCATTTATTTTCAAAAAGATAAAAAACCTTAGCATGAATAATGCACACTTCGAGTCGTTAACTATTGAAATAATCAATCAAAAAGCTGAAAATCACTTTCTTTACTGCTCTATTCAGACCACCCAAGGGGCCATCCATAAAGGACGTCATCCAAATAGGGGGTTGAGAGGGTTGAGATAAAAAGGAAAAAAAAAGACAAGGAGAGGGAAATGTTGTCACAAAAAGACGTCACATTATAGATTTTTAATTTTAGTTTAATTAACATGGAAAACTATGTAAACATGTATTACAAATAAACAGTGTCAAAGTATGTTTAGTATCTTTTTTTATTTGTGTCTTTTTTGTTAAAAAATTTCATAAACTTATCAAAAATTAGTTTTAAAATCCTCTATGCACCTTCCATGCACGATTTTAATTCATAAGCTCTTCGTAGCTGAAAATTTCAGAACTTTGATTCGTAGAAATCTTGTTTTAAGTTTTACCTTAGCGTAATTTTTATTGAATAAAAGAGGAAAAAGGTGGGATAGCTGTTTGAACTCGTGTCATGTTTTTTGTAAATTTTAAAAATTTACAAAAAAACATGACACAAGTTCAAAGTACGTGGGATCTCTTGCAAATAGTTTGCAAGAGATCCCACGTAATGTAAGAGCTATTCCTCGAGACCAAAATGTAAGGAGAGAATTCTCAAAAGAAAGAGTACTTTTGCTAAAATTTATAGGCAAAGGAGTTAAAATCAACCAGCAGCTCTATTTATATAACATTTTGAAGTCTCGCGCGGATAAAATATTTGGTGATCGTCCAGATACTTTACAGCAAGATTCAGCTCCGCACATAAAGCAAAAATCGTTTAAGTACGGTTAAGTTCCCTTGTTTCATTCCAGCATCAGAATGACCCATGTTTTCATCATGTAACCCTATGCGAAGAAATCCAATTTGAACCCAATGGATTTCTTTGCATAGGGTTATATGTTGAAAACACGGGTCATTTTGATGCGCAAATGAAACAAGTGAACTTAACCGTGACTAAACCGTACTTAAACGAATTTTACTTTAAGGTTCTTTTAGTCAAAATTTGGAATGAAATTTTTGACATTTTCTGTGCCAGCTGTGGTAAACTTTAAAACAGAGTTTATACGGGTATCAAAGAAAAAGGAGATTTGAAATTAAATAATTTTTTGCATAATATATTAATGTAACTTTCAGAAAAATGTATTTTATAATTCAAAATAGTCTTCTAGTTTTTCTAACACAAAAACTATGAGATATTTGTAAGTCTGTATAAATACAGACTTAGAAATGTTTTATAGTTTTTGTGTTAGAAAAACTATGGGACAACCCACCCTGTATAAATAGATAAAAAAAGGATTTTGTATAATTACATACATAATGATAACTACTTGATTTAATTTGAGAAGCTAGTTAATGAAGGTTAATCAGTTCGTTTGAAATAATAAAAATAAAACATCAGGTTTAAACACTATGTTTTTTTATAATTATAATGCCTAAACTATCAATTACAAAAATTCATGGATCCGTCACTGATAATACAGTATCTATATACAGTGAAACAATTAAAAAATTTCGGGATGGATCATACTTGTATGCACATCCGATATTTTAAAATAAAAAATATGTAAAAATGCAACATTTAAATATCAAAATGTCCTAAAAATGCAACATTAAAATATCGAAATATTCTGTAAATAACGAATGACTTGCCCATATATATATATATATATATATATATATATATATATATATATATATATATATATATATATATATATATATATATATATATATATATATATATATATATATATATATATATATATATATATATATATATATATATATATATATATATATATATATATATATATATATATATATATATTCTATCGTTACGTACCGGACATTTTGATTTATATATAAAACTATATACAAAAGTAATTTTAATAATATTTAAAAAATTGCTACTGATATTATAACTTTTTTTAATCAAAGTTTTTGAGATGAATTCTTAATAAAAAACATGTTTTTAATTTTAATTTCTTGGAATAGTCATAACTTTAAATTCAGAAGGAATGCGAGTTATGCCAGATTCACCTTTTAAGTTTGGTAACTCTTCTTCAGTTGGTTTTTCAAACCGATAATCTTTTACTAACCGTGATATAAATATAAACAACTCT